GCATGGGAGATATTGATCTAAAAACTTCATTTGGAACTACTTGGAGCTTACAAAATGTCAGGGTGATTCCAAGACTGAAGACAAAGTTGATCTCAGTCGGACAATTGGATGAACAGGGACTAGACATCAAGTTTGGTGGTGGAAAATGGAAGGTGATCAAAGGAAATTTGGTTATTGCTCGAGGCTTGAAAAGAGGATCGTTATACATGGTACCGGTGACGTCTGAGGGAGTGACCAACCCGGTAAAGACAGTTAACAAAGTCGGGCTCACTGAATCGGGCAAAGCTAAGAAGGTTCACTTTGCAAACGTGAATCTTGGAGTTTTGGGGATGACAGTTGAGTGTGTTCGGAGGTCTGAATCAGGTCAGGGGTTTTGTGACAGTGGGAACATGGGACGTGTTCCGAGTACAGTTCTGAAACGTCGTTGGGTTTTGAGGACCAAGAATCCGAACGTTAAAATCTCTCCTGGGAATAGTTTGCTGGATTTGGAGAGTGGTAATGGTCCTCGGTGTATCTCTGGATCCGGTGGATTGTGCAAGCCGCCGGTTGAGACAGAGGCTGTGGCGGTTACAGTCACGACTGGGTTGGAGCTCGGTGGAGCTTCAACTGTCCTTTCAGGTTATTAATTAGGGGGGTGGTTGCAACTAGGGGATATAACTGGAGTCTTAACTTGTTCTTGGGAACTGGAGGCTTGGAGGACTTGACAGTGAAGATTACTGAGTTACTCATGATGGGTTTACTTGGATGGCATTTGTGTCTATGCGAAATCCTTCAAGTGGGAGATTGTTGGGTTATTTGGTGAAGGCTTTAGAGCTTTGGGCTTTAAGCCTGGTCGGTTAAAGGGAAGAAATATGGGGGTCGGTTTTAGTTATTAATTTAAGGGCCCATTAGTTGTTTCTTGTTTAGCAAGTTGTTAACCCTAATTTATATCTTATAAATACCCAATCATGTAACTATAATCTGTGAGCACCTAATAAAAGATAAACCCTAGTTGCATCCCGTGGAGTAGGTTACTGACCGAACCACGTTAAATCTCGTGTTCTTATTTTCTGCTATTTGTGTGTGTGTGTTTGTTTGCTTCCGCTTGACCGCCTCTGATCTCTGATTACTAAGAAACAAAACTTGAGAAACTAGCTTTTAAGTTGATTACAACTTGCAGATTACATTTATGAAAACATAGACACTCCTCTGTTTCTCTCATCACATTCTAACATAATAACAAGAGAACCAACGAAACAGAAACTCCGGGGAGAACCTGAACAGATGAAGAGCGCTCACTACCAAGTAGTAAATCTAGTTTCATGGGTGAAAGGCATCAAATAAATATTTAAAATGATTTAACCATAATTAATAGTATCAATGATAAAAATTGACTGAAAAAGAGCAATAAAAGTCACCACTTGCTTGTTTAAATGTATGAAACTGCAGAAACATGTTGAAACAAAATTGGTGTGTCCATGCACAATGCAAAGAAAGATATCCAACCTCGATACTTCATGATCTGAAGGAAATTAGCCATGACATTAGATATTGGTTTAAGTTGAGCTGAAGCAAACCCTCTCTTCTCAGCATTCACGATAGTCGTCAATGCATCATTGAGTATTCTCCTCCCCATTTTTGCTGTTGGTTCTTGCGCTGTATGCCTGTTCTGCAAACCACGGAGGTTGAACAACTATGGCTGCCGCAGTTTATGCAAACAGAACCCACTGGTATATGGTTACTATTTTGAAGATTATTGTAGCGTTAAGCCATAACAGAGAGCAGTTAAACATGCACTACAGTATATTTGTTGTCGAAATTGCCACTACATTTATTATTGTAGAGTATTTTTTGTCAAGAATGCATCATTGTGTTCATATGGCACTCTACACTTAAAAAGAATAGAAAATGCCATATTATACACAAATTTACTATGCATTATAAAGAAAGAGCATTTCAAAACATTAAATGGAGTGTAAAGTCCATGAACACTAGGGTTCCAGGGGAAAAAAAGATGAAATCACTATTACATACGGAAAAAGAATATATGAGAGCAAAGAAACTGGAATGGGAAGTATATGGGAAAAAATATTAATTAAAAGTTTTTCAATGCTTCTATGAGAGTATGTTCAACACTTGTTGCAGCATGAAGTATCAATGCTTTTATGAGAGTACATACAGAACCATGTGTAAGAGCCTTTTTAGTGGACACCATTTTCATTGAGAGCTCAACAATACTCTTTAAACCATTGAATCTATTGTTAGAGCGAACATCCATAATATAATTCTAAACACTATTACCCCTTCCACTTGACTCCGATTCTTTGAATTTAGGTTACTTTTTTAAATACCTTTGCAATGTAAATGATAAGTAAAAAAGTAAAGATTATGTATACAATTTAGACATAAATTGAACATTAATACTTATCATTTTAAATCTTTAATCAATTAGTAGTCATAACAAATTTGTAATCAAAATGTATAAAATTAAAAAAACATTTATATATTACTCGTAGTGATCATAACTCATAATACATTCATACTCCGTAATAATTAAACAATTATTTTCACAAAATAACCAAAATTAATTACCTGTGGGCTGTGGCTTGACCTAGACCAGCTGGAAGGCTGGAGAAGAGGATACGGGCAGAGCCGGCAGACGGAGCTCGCCACTCGGCGGCAGCGGTGACTGGTAGTCTAGGAAGAGAATCGCCGGTGAGGAGCTAGGGTTGGCTCAGGAAGAAAATCGAAATTTGGGAATTGAGTCGCTGATATGGATTTTCCTTATACACAATCGACGTCTTTTTGTCTATGGTTTCTTACTCTGGTGGTCTGAAGAGTGAAGACTAGGGTCTAGGGGTGGGCAATCGTATCCAGGAACCGCGAGTCCGAACCGGACCGCCAGGTTCGGTCCGAGTTAGGTCTGAGTCGTCTTTTTAAAAATTTTAAACGGTCCAGATCGGTCCGGTCCTTATATATTTTAGAGTCGATCCGGTTCTTCATTTTGTAATTTTTTAGGATCCGAACCGGACCATTTTTTTAATATCAATATTATTTTTAATATTATTTTTAGTAAATACGGAGTATAATTAAGGATATACGGTATACCCGCCTATTCCAATTAATTTTAGTAAATCTTGGTACAAACATGTCCCAAAGTACTCTATGAAATGAGTGAGGAACTGGACAGTGGACTTCATATCATCTCTTGGTACCAAACATGTCAAAGTACTTCATATTACTCCGTAATATTTTGCCCGAGCTCTAGGAACTGGACAGTGGACGTGTGGCGCAATTATTCACACCATCCAATTACCCTTTGAACTTTGAAGGCATTATTCTATAATTTATATATTTGTTTTGGAGAATGTTAGTATCATGATAGATTCAGACCCGTTGACCCGTGGAATTGGCCCGTTTCAAACAAGCCAGGTTAGGTCCGGTTCAAATTTTAAAATTTTAAAAACCCGTTCCGGCCCGGGCCGTTTTAATAAAAACAAGTTGAGTCCGGTTTATACTAATCTTGGCTCGGACCGGCCCGTGCCCACCCTAGTGAAGACCAGGCGAAACAGACCCCAACTCGATAACATGAAATAGAACTCGAAATAATTTGAAAATTGAAAAATTGAATTAAATCCAAAAAAGTGAAATGATCCAAATCGAACCAAAAGTGAACTGAACTGAATGTATTCAAACTTAATTTAGATCTGAATCTGATTGACCCCAAACTGAACACTTGAACCAATTAAATCCGAAATCGATTAGACACAATATTGATCAAATCATTTACTATAATATTTGAAACTCATGTCTCCAAAAAGTTGTCATGTGTCATCTTACATGGCAATTTATAAATGATATGGTACATGAATAAATTACATTGCATGCTTTAAATGCTCATTCATCATTTATCGAAATTTATTTATGATAACCTTTAAAATATGATGAGTTTAAAACAATATATTTTATATTAAAAAATTATGGACTTTTGAATTTATTGAAAATTATGTAAATGAAATAAATGTAATTTTTCAACAAAAATTAAATAAATTAATCATAAAAAAACTAATCATGATTAGCTCGGGTGTTTTTTCATAAAAATGAAAATACTCCGGGTAATATTTAAAGTCTATTTAAAGTCTTTTGAGGAAAATATAGTTTTCTAAAATTATTAATTTATTCTTTTGTAGAAAAAATTTAATGAGCTCTTATACCACTAATTAAAGGTGAGAAATTTATTAAAGAAATTTAGTACTTTATAAGTTTATGTATATTAGATAATTTTTAATTTGAAAATTTTTTGGTTTAATGTATTCAATAATTTTTTATACGGAGTAATTAAAAAAAATCTGTCAAGATTTAAATTTAAATTTTGTTTGAGATATCACATATATTTACATCACGGTATTGATAGTCTTTAAAAGTATTTATTTTTTATATAAACAGTGTTTATAAACAGTGTTTAAAATAGAGTAGATCTCTTCTCTAATTATCTTTCTTCAATTGTTGTGTCGTGCCGCCGTCCATAAATCATGAAAAAAAGCTGCAGAAATCGTTCCTTCCGTTTTGTTACTTCTTTTTCTTATCAAGTTATCATGTATTTCTTTTATTTTTTTAATAAAATTTTTGCACTTTTAGTCTAAAAATTATTTTATGTATAGTGCGTTACTTTGTTAACAATTGTTGACGAATGCATCTATGGTGTACCTTGGGTGCATTCTTTTTTTGTATATCTTCTCACATAAAAATTTATTTTTTTATTATAAATTTTTTTATTAAAATAAATGCTCATATTGATAATTAGGATTTATTTATTTACTTCATATCTAGATCCATGATGAACTTAAGGTCCATCGTAGAATTTGCTATTGTTGACAATTGAATTTGTTAGGGAATAGGATAGGACTATAGGAGTAAAGAAAGCAAAATATTGCAATAAATTGTGTTTAAAAATTTTAGGACACTTTGGTTGATATTTTACGATGCTTATTGTGAAATTGTGGCTTAAAAAAGGCTAAAATAGTGCAATGACTTATACAAAGTGTTTCTTAAATTTTTTAATGTTTTACAAACGTAGATGTAATTGATTGTTTACAACAAATGAAAATTCCTTTTAAAAAAGAAAACTTGTAGAGAACAATTATAGAATGTATGTTTGTTTTAGTTTAATTACGTACTTTTTTTATTTTAATTTATTTTTATTATAAATCAAATAAAATTAATTTTGTATCAATATCTAATATCATTTTTATTTAATTTGAGATCAAAATTTATCAATTTTGACAAAAGAAATCAAAAGTGGACAAATACTCAGCGCCAGAGAGAGTATATAATTATAAGGTCGGTAATTTAGATTTTTTAAATTAATGTGAGAAAAAAGAATCATTGGATCACTAATACTTTTTGTATTAATATATTTTTAAATTTATACAGGGAGAAAAATTATAGATTTGTAGAAATACATCAAACCTTGATCATTTATATTTGACTTTTAAATAATATGCCAAATAAAAATCAAGATCCACATTGTAGAATCGAAAAAAAATTTGTCCGAACTCGTGCGTGGCGCGGGTAGAAATATTAGTTCAAAATAGATTAAACTCAAATGCAGTCACACCTAATAGTTCATTGGTTAATGTTTTTTCAAAAAAGCATATTTAATTTATATGCACAACTAATTTCATGTACAATATTTTATTTTTATATTGAGTACATATAATTTATAATAGCATCGTAAGACACATTGATCGATATATTGACTCGTTATTACTTACACGTGTATATATATACCCCCTTTGTTGGAATGCATGTGTTTAATGTTGGACACGATTTTATTATGTGGTCTGAGTTATCATTTATCTAATTAATTGATCATTGACCTAATAAATACCCTACGCATTTATTTGGTAATTATTCGATGGACGTAATTACCCTTATGACCTAATTAGGGTTTCCCCTTGGGTGTATATATATATAGAGGTCATTAGGCAGAGATCAACACACCAATCTTACGCCTCCTCTCTGCCTCTCTATTCTCGTGAGTCTCATCCTCACCTTAGCCATCATAACGATACACCCTAAACGGAAACTTGATCTGCGTGAGAATCATGACCACATCCCTAACTACGTTTACAGGATTATTAGGTACACATGATTAAATCTCTAGTTTGTATTTTATGTTTAAGAATTGATCAACATTTAACCCTTTTTATACTGTTAAGTGTTGACTCATAGGTTTTCTAAAGGAGCGTATAAGTTTGAAATAACAAAACTTATACACAAAGCAGATTTCAATATATTATTCATGTTATTCTTCATCCTTATTATGATGAAATAATCTTGTTTTGGTATTAGATTTGGAATAAAATTGTGTTTCCTTAAATTGTATGGCATATCTCACTTCTGCATAATATATTCTATTTCCTTATTTATTAATATATTTTACCAAGAATAGCAAAACTAAGTAAGGGATATGCTAAAATATCATATAAAAAAAGGATTTAAAAAAAAATTTGTTGGAAAATCTCTTGCCTTATATGCTTTTGATTTTCTAATTAAATTAATCTTAATGGGGCCCCAATTTTTGTAGCCCCGCCCGAATCGCTATAACTTTTGCGGTTAATTAATTATTAACTTTAAATTTATAAATCATTTGACTAATCTTAAATAAAATTTATTTTATGATTGGTTAAATTGATTTATTTTGCTTGACTTGAATAATACCTTAGAGTACACTTCTTCCCAAAGGTGATGTGTAACATTTGTGAAATTTATTTCAAGTCTTATTAAGCATTGTCATTTAGTGCATATCCTTAAATAGATATTTGCATGACACTCGCCTTAAATACATAATATTTCACTTCTGTCCAACGATGATGTGTTATAATTATGTACTGCGAACTAAATATATATGTGCATTAAAATTTAAATGTTTCACTTCTGCCCAAAGGTGATATGTTACATTCAAATTGTAAATCATTATTTTATTATTCATAATACTTAAATAAGTGGTTATAACCAAAGTAAAGCCATTTGTTTAAGTAGAATTAACTTTAGTCTATTATTTTGGTGTTATAATAGACTTTTATCAGAGCTTCATTACTATATAATGGTCTTTATCTTAGCTAGCCTTAGTTAATTACCCCTTAAGTTCTTCTTTAGTTATGTGTCTTATTTCTCTCATCTGAATCCACTATCAGCTCCAAATATGGGAATTGAAACCTTGAACGGTGCGAATTTTTCTTCATGGAAAGATTCACTGATGCTAACTCTTGGCATGTTGGATTTTGATTATGCACTGAGAGAGCCTGCTCCTCCTGCCCTCACTGATAAAAGTACTGCTGAAGATAAAATAGTACATGAGAGATGGGAGAGGTGCAACCGAATGGCTCTTATGCTCATTAAAAATTCCATCAACATAATCATCAGGGGAGCTATTCCAGATTCATCTAATGCTAAAACATATCTGGCTTTCGTGGAGGAACAATTCAAAGCAACTTCTAAGGCACATGCTAGTACTCTTATTTTGAAGATGGTGACTACAAAATACGACGGGAATAGCGGCATTCGTGAGCACATCATGATGATGAACGACATGGCCCGTAAGCTTAAGGGACTAGACATGGAGATCAGTGAAGGTTTTCTGGTGCACTTCATAATGACTTCTCTTCCTGCATCTTTTGAAGTCTTCAAGGTCAACTACAACACCTAGAAGGTCAAGTGGTCGATGAATGAGTTGATTGCTATGTGTGTACAAGAAGAAGAGCGTCTGAAGCTGGACAAACCGGATGTGGCTTACCT